GCCAAAGTTTGTGTTGATTAATTTTTAAGTTTTAATGTTTCTCAATATTTTGATATTTACCGATCTCAATTCCGTGTCTCGAATACTAAATAGCACTCTAAAATGAATTCCAATCCTAAACCATTAAAATAATTTATATTTAGTAATACCAAATAGTGACAAATTTGGTATTGTATTCAATACATCCAAAATACCGGTAATATAACTTTCAACCCTACAACTGACCAACAGACTAAACGGTATTAACAACCTTGTTGTCAACCCACGGATCGACCCTTAACCCACTTACTCGGCCAACCAACCTGGCTAAACGGGTTATCAATAAGGATGTCAATGGGGCGGGTCTGCCTAAATATTCTCATCCCCGCTTTCAAATATCTATACTCATACCCGCCCTATACACGTGGGTTTCGGGTACTCATGGGTAATACCCGTCCCGTACATCCAACATTATAATACCTACAATTTTACATGTAAATTTTAAATTATAACATTAAATGCATGTTTTATATCATGAAGTCGACAAAGAGACAATCATTCTTAATACGGATCAAAGCATCTTATCCTAAAATACTCATTAATCACAAGATAGAGTACAATGCAATTCAAATCATTATTCACTGGATCTGATATATCAACTAAATAATAACTAACTAACATTATCTTGTTAACATGACGGGAAAAATGAAAGAGTGAATGGAGAGTCGAGGAAAATGAATTAGGTTTTGATTTATGCCTTGTTCACTTCCCAATTCATTTTCTGTTTTCTGGTTAAAAAATGAAAATCAGGAAACAAATGGACATAAAACGTGTTCACTTGACCATTCCATTTTCCCTGGAAAAACCCAATTATTACAAATGAGAAAACCATTAATACTCGTTTTCCGAATAGTATGGGACGGGTTATCCCCCCGTTTCCCAGCGGAAAACATACTAATCCACTCAAACCGACCCGCGTTCGATTCACCACAGACACTTTTTTTACCCTTTTTACAACGTAGAAATCTAGCTCCTAAGCGCCGCCGTTTTGCCTCCAGCAACCCTAGAAGACTCTGCCATCGTCTTCCTCTTCTCCCTCCAGCCTCTCCTCCCACTTCCTTCAACATCTCGCTCGCCGCCATCCGCCACACCCACCGCCATCCGCCACACCTCGCCACCATCATCTTCCTCTCCCTCCAGCCTCTCCTCCCTCTTCCTTCTATCTCTCGCTCTGCCGCCAACCGCCATACCCCGCCGGCGTCATCTTCCTCTCCCTCCATCGTCTCCCTCCTGCTAGCGACCCGTAAGAAGTAGAAGCAGCAGCCGGCGCCTCGACTTCCTCCAATAGAGAGCTCCAGCCGCCGATTCCTCCAATAGAGAGCTCCAGCCGCCGATTCCAGCCGCCGATTCCTCCAACAGAGAGCTCCAGCCACTGATTCCAGGTACTTACTCTCCTTGCCAGCTGGTAATGTTTTGTGCTGCTGCTTGTTAAAGTGAATAAAGCCGCCCACAAACAGCAAAGAGTGAATATCCATTGTGAACAATGAACTTATATATTACAAAATCTGCTATCTACAATGCGGATCAAAGATAAATGTTGTGTGGTTACTTGAAAGATTACCTTCTATCAGATTGATTTAATAAACTTTTATTGAAATTGTTGCTTGATCACTTGGGTTCATTCTTATACGGGGAAAATGCATCTGTGATTTTTTGTGCTGCTAAGTTTGAATGGAAATATGAACAATGGACAGATTTGTTGCTTTATTGTTTTGATTGCAAATGATGTTGTCTTCTTTTGTTTTGTTTGATGTCAATTTGTTGGTGATATCTTATTTCGTATTGAATTGTAGCGTGATAAGCAATGGCTGAGTTTGATGTCGTAAACAATAATGATTGTGTCATACTTGAGGGAGCCGAGGTTTGGCCTGATAAAGTTGTCGAGTATTTCATTGCTTTGATGCTCGAGGAAGTAAAGAAGGGGAACAAACATACGACAACTTTCACTAAATTAGGATGGTCCAACATTGTAAATGGGTTGAAGATTAAGTTCAACAAGGACTATGCCCCCGATCAGTTGAAGAATAAATTTAATTTGATGAGGAGGAAACACCCGGGAATTCAAGGACTTAATCAGCCAGACTGGAATTAGTTACTCTTCTGTAACAGGAAGGATTGCTGCCTCTGATGAGCAGTGGAAGGTGTGGAACGAGGTAATTGACATTTTTTGTCATTGTGATTGAATTGAAAGTAGTATTTAGGAAAGAGGAATTGATTAGAATGTTGCATTTGCAGCGATACAAGATGATGGGGACCATTAGGAAACATGGATGTCCAGAGTATGAAAACCTGTCCATATTATTTGGTGATACAACTGCCTCTGGTGCGAATGCTGTTGCTTCTACTCACGAGGTCTCGGATAGTAGTGGTGGACCTAGCAAAGCAAATGATGTTGATCTTGATGGTGAAGAAAATGTGGGTGGAGTCTCTGGTTGTGCCAAGGAGACGTTGCCCAAAGTGAAGGGTAAAGGAAAGAAGAGAAAAGCAGCTAAATCTGGCTTTACTAATGCAGTGGAGAATGCCATAATCAGCATGGCTGAAGACTCCAAAAGGAAGAGTGAGAGGCATGAAGCCAAGGAGGCCGCCTCTTCGGTTGGAAGACCTATGCATGATGTATCTTCACATGATAAGGAGCTTGACATTATGACTGAATGCATGAATTTATTAGATGAAATGGAGGTGGAGGCTAATGTATTTGTGAAGGCTTTCGATGTTCTACATGATTGTCCACTGAAGAGAGGGCTTTTCTTGCGTATGACAGAGAGGAGAAGGAAAGAATGGTTGTTGAGTTTAGTGTGACTATGAGTGTTTGTTGAGAACTGCAGTAACATTTGTTTGTTGAGTGTTTGATGAGTTCTTACTATGATGTTTGATGAATTTTAGTATGATGTTTGATGACTTTTAATATTATGTTTTCTTATTGTAAGAATCTTATGAACTAAGTTGTAATTGAATGTTTGAGTGTTATATCACTTGTATTTGGGTTATTATCCATTTTTAATGAAGTTATTATGCATTGCAGAACTTATGAATTCAGATTCAGATTCCGATGAAGAGTTGAAATTCATAATGCTTGTGGCTATGTTGGAGAATGAGCGATCTAAGTCTGTTAGGATGCCATGTAGAACCTTAGTGCAAACAGGACATGATTGGGTTCAAGAACTTCTCCGTGGGCATCCGATTAGGATATATGAATCACTCCGAATGGATAAATAAATTTTCTTTGCTTTGTATGAGGAATTGAAGCAACATGGTGGGTTGAAGGATACATCTAATGTGATGGTCGTAGAACAAGTTGCAATCTTCCTCAAGACTATAGGTCACGCAAATGACTTCCGCGACCTTGCAGAACGGTTTCAACATTCTACTGCAACCATCTCAAAGTACTTTAATCTAGTGTTGAAAGCAGTGGTGAAGCTTGCAAACAGGGTCATTGTTCCCCCAAATTTGGAAGTTGTTCCCGAAAGAATAATTGATTCAAAACATGTTCCATATTTCAAGGTAAGCAATTCTCTTTATGATTGAGGATTAATATTCGAATGTTCTTTAATTATGACACTTACTCACATGAATTCAGGATTGCATCGGAGCAATAGATGGAGTTCATATTGACGCAGTGGTTCCGAGTGGTGAGCAGATTCCATATCGAGGACGGAAGACGACTACTACTCAGAATGTAATGGTTGTTTGTTCTTTCGATATGCTCTTTACCTTTGTGATGGCTGGATGGGAGGGTACAGCAAATGATGCAAGAATTCTTACTGAAACAGTTTCCAACCCATCTAACAACTTTCCCATGCCACCACGAGGTACAAAATGATTCTCTTTATTTTAGTAATTATAGTACACATCTCATATGACTAATTGATTTTATATCTTATAGGTAAGTATTATGTTGTTGATTCTGGATATGCAAATATTCCTGGGTTTCTAGCGCCATATAAGACAAAAGAAGCACGTCATTTTCAAGATATCGATCGTGGAGGTGGACCAAAGACTCGTAAACAACTTTTTAACTATTATCATTCATCTCTACGCAATGTTATCGAGCGTTGTTTTGGAGTTTTGAAGGCTAGATTTCCCATTTTGAAGCATATGCCTCCTTTCGCTTTCAAGAAACAAGCACACATTGTTCTTGCATGTTGTGTTATACATAACTTTATTAGGATCCACTCTGGTGGCGACACTCTGTTTGAAGAATATCAAAATTATTGCACGGGGGAGAATGCCAATGGAGTGCAAGGAGGACAAGAACGAGAAGCATATAATCATAGTTCAAGCCAAACTCGAGCGATGGATGTACGACGAGATGGAATAGCAAACAAGTTGTGGGATGACTTTCAAGCTGGACTTATTTGAATTTTTATGTTGTACTAGTACTTAATTAATATAAGATATTGTACTTGTATTGTGTTTATTTGTAGTTTAAAAATTATTTAATTTAAATTAAAAATTATAATCATGGCTAGGGTTGTATGATAATCAAGAATCAGAAAACAGAATGAAGCAACTAAACCGGTTTTCATTTCAGAACTCAGTTTCAGAACTCACCCAAATTCTCAGCTAAACAAGGTTTTTTCAGGTTTTGTTTTCCAGAAAATGATAGCTTCGTTTTCATCTTAATTTTGTTTTCTGTTGTGCCAGCTAACAGAAATGGGATGGCAAGTAAACGGCCCATTAGGTAGGCACTCAATTGCATTTTTACTATTTATTTTCTTGAGCTATTCTCACTGTCATTGATAGGTTGCACTTTATGCATGTATTTTTTATATGTGAAAAAATTCTATGGGTATAGCCGTATAGGTGTGGGCCAGAGAAACTAAAATCATACCCGCTCCATATTCAATAAATGCGAGAATTTCCGACATTAACTGGGTCGGGGGCAGCCCAAACACGCGGTTATGAGTTTGATTGCAATACTGGTTGACAACCTTTCAGAGACACAGATAAAGCCAAATACGATTTCCTCTGTAGACAGAGAGCAACAAACCAAAAAAAAAAAAAAAATGTCCGCCCATCTTCTTCCTCCCCGCTCCCGACCGTACCTCCATCCATCTATTCGTGTCAATTAATATTCTTCCTCCAATCCCCTACCTGCGGCTTTTAGGATTCCATCCCCTCCCTTCCGCCGCCGCACTCTGCATCCAGTTTCAGGTGAGTAGTCTCGTCAATCTATCGCAAGTTCAGATTTTTATATCGCTTGAGTTTAATTTATAGTGTTTGGCGGTTTTACTCTGAATTGGGTCTCAGCTGTTCCATCCAATTGGAACATTGATTTACCAATGGCGGGTGAAGTTCTACTCCTGATTCGATCGCATAAGCTGAATAATTCAACTTTTTTTTTTTCTGTTCTGTTAGAGTCTCCAAAGCAATCTGGACTTTGTTGTTAGAGTTTTCATGTCGTAACTTTACCTTGTTCTCTGCGGATTATAAAAAAAGAATCTTTCCCCTTATGCAGGCAATAATAGAAGAAGTTTTTTTTCTTTCTTTCTCCAGTGCAGGAACTTCTGGTGTGGAACCTGTGGTTATGTCTTCATCGTTCCCAATTCTTCATAATTCAACCGCAGACATGTACCCCAAATTACCGGATACTTTCCAGATTCCTTCTGAGAGGGAGATGGTGAGAAACCCTATGCATCAACACACACCTCCAATGGGTTATAGTACTGGGACAGTCGAGCACTTGTTCTCATCCTCTTCCAGATTCGCTGAAGAGATGCATGTTTCTTCACCCCAGGGAAAGCATTCTTGGAATTTGCCATTGGTTTCTCAATCCCCCATTGGAAGAACAAGTTTTCCTCCATTGCTGGCTCCCCATATGGAAGCACAATCCTCAACATTGGGTAGTAGTCACTCTGAAGAGAGTATGATTGGTTGTTTTCCCATTGATCCGCTTCTTCTCGATTTCCCGGAGGATGTGTATATTCCAAATGTTTTTCATGATGAGCGTGGATGTGTGGTTGCGTCTGAAGACCTCACCACGAGAACGACGGATTTGCTGTTGGATTATCAGTTGATGGCGGCTGATGATGATCTCATTACGGACTGGAATGAAATCAGTACTGGAGTTACTGGCATTGAGACCAACCAAAAGGTACTCACTTTCATCCTGATCTAGTTTTGTTTTCCAAGCCTGAAACAAATTGTTACTTTGCTCTAAGACCATGCATGACATGGGGGATGGGGAGATGGTGGCCTTAGTGTTAAAAATGACTGTAGTATAACATTGCTCAGCTGTAAAGCAAGCTCATTTCGGGATTTTCATGCAGTATAATTATCTTAGGATGATTAAAAAGAAGGTGAAATTGACTTGTTTGATTAGGGGAAGAACTCCAATCTGTGTTTGAGGACTGGTTGATTAGGAAAACACAAACCAGGTCTCTTTCTCTAAGCTAAATTATTGTATCAGGCGCCACAACAATTGTCTAGTATGCCAACTATCTTAGCAGAGCAACCTCAGTTTAATCAGCATCTTCAACAATCATCTAGTAACTCGGTGCCAACTATCTCACTAGAGCAAGCTCAGTTTAATCAGCATCTTCAACAATCATCTAGTGACTCGGTGCCAACTATCTTGGTTGAGCAACCTCAATTTAAGCAGCAGCTTCAACAATCATCCAGTAACTCGGTGCCAACTATCTCAGTAGAGCAACCTCAATTTAATCAGAAGCTTCAACAATCATCTAGTAAGCTGGTGCCAGCTCTATCAGTAGGGCAACCACAAGTGAATCAGCAGCAAGCTGCTGTTAGTGGAGAAGTAAAATCTGCTGCCACCCCACTGTCCTCTGCACCAGCATCAAGCAAAACCAGGATGAGATGGACACCAGAGCTTCATGAGGCTTTTGTGGATGCAGTCAATCAGCTTGGTGGCAGCGAACGTATGTATTCATTCTGTAGAGGCTTTTACTATATTATTTGAATGTTAGATCCTGTATAAGCTGGTTGGCTTCAATTATTTTGACTTACAGGAGCTACCCCAAAGATTGTCTTGAAGCTAATGAATGTTGAAGGATTGAATATTTATCATGTCAAAAGCCACTTGCAGGTTCATTCATGGCTTTCTCTCAACATTTTCATTTTTTCACCTTTCGGAGCACCACTATGAGCTGTTCCCTTTTTTCTCATGGACGTGAATTTTTTTCATTTTCAGAAGTACAGAACAGCAAGATACAAACCAGAGCCAACTACTGAAGGTGAGGTTTAATTCTCACATTTATCGTAGTTTGCACGCGTCAGTTATTGTCCCCCACCTGGGATTTGTATGCTTAATCTTTATTTGATCCTTGCATTCTACTGTGTTCTGATCAGAGCATTGATGAAATGTCCAGTTTAACAAATGTTTTTATTCTCTTTTTCGTTACAGACTCGGAGAAAAAGTTGAGTTCCCTTGACGTAAAGAGATCTATGGACTTGAATACGTAAGTTTTAGAGAATCCCTTGACTGTCTAAGTAATCTTGTATTGCTCTTTTCGCATCGGTTAATTCATCTTTGTTGTGGTAACAAAAGCAGAGCCACAGAGATAACTGAAGCTTTAAGACTACAGTTGGAAGTTCAGAAGCAATTACATGAACAACTCGAGGTAATCCTGCTCCACCGTGCTTATAGCTTGCATATCATCGAAATCAGCCACGTTCACTTGTGAGGAAGAAAGAAAAAAAAAATTAGTTTAAATATCATATCGACTCTTTTCTGCCCGTGCTGATCATTTTCTCTCAATACCGCCAGACTCAGCGTAAATTACAGGTGAGAATCGAAGAACAGGGAAGGAATCTGCTGATGATGTTTGAGAAACAAAAGATGGGGGAGGACAAAACCAAGCTTCCTTCCCACTCCTTAGTCAATGATACACAGTCGCATGCACATGCACTTCAGCCTCGTGAAGACGATAAATTAGAAGCAGCAGATGGTGAAGAAAGCTTCCATGACCCGATCACAAAGCGAACATCACCAGGGGCTGGAAACCCAAAGAACACCCTCGACCAAACTGAAGAGGAAGAGTCCAGTCCAGTGCAGGCGAAACGAAAAAGGACGGTCTAAACATCATCAGCGGCTGCATCAGTGTAGTCTCATTCCATTTATCTTATTATTACTTGGGTAAGTTGATTAGGGTACGATGTTGCAGCGGGGTTTTGGGGATGAGATTTTTGTTATTTTCAGTGAATGGTTTGGCAGTTGCCGCGGTGATGGCAAAGCAACGTCAATGGCTCCCTTTCGCTGTTTTTATGTCGGAAGTTGGTCTAGTTTCATCATATGTGACATTGCTGTACATATTTTGTGACAACTAGAAAGTTGAAAATAATTCAATGGAAGAGGTCGGATAGAGACGGATTTGAGGCTACCGTAGTTTGGTGTTGCCAGTTGCCACACTACATGGCAGTTATTGCATATTAGTGCCTTTGGGGTATATGCTTGTTGTTGGTGTAAGAGTAAGAGTTTCGTTCGGTTCTAATAGAGATATGAGTTCTGAGTTCTGACTATGAGAGGCAAAAGTTTCTCTAAGAATTTGAGTTTCTGGCTTAGAAGAGTTGCAACTTGCAACTTGATTTCATTGTTTCTCATCATGTTGGTTAGTTAGATAACATGGCGAAAAATGAGTGGATTTGTTCAGGTGATGAGCTTGTCACCCTGGTTTAACATCCTATACAAACAAATACGATGATTTTGAGCTCAACCCGTCTAGGGAATAGTTGCAAAAACTTGATGAAATAGGAAGGGGAAGGTTTAGCTGCTCCTATCCATTCTTTCATGGTCGAACATCATTAGTAAAATTACTATAGATCGTTGGAAGCACAGTAAAACAGTCCAAATGAAATTTTAAAAAGGAAAGGAATAGGTTACAAAACTCATTCCTGCAAAATCACTATAAAATCCTATCATTTACCTTTCAATTCTTTCCTCATTCAATGGTCCACATTAAATTGGAACAAAAAAAGGAAGGGCGTACTAGTACTTATGTCACTCCTGCCTGACACGAATCAAGATGAGAGAGAAGATATTTTTTTCTAATCCTCTATTTTTCTTAATCGGATCATACTGAATTCGTTTTAATTTTGAATTTAAAAAAATTTGCATAGAAAACACATTAATTATACACATTGATATCCATTTTGCTATATTTTGAGCAAAGAAAAAATGAACTCTAAATACGTGTCGGTTGAAGTATTATCATTGACATATCAATCATATTCATGTCAGTCATATCAATCATATTAAGGATAAGATATCATACTAACATCATATCAATCATATCATCTTGATATATCAGTGATATGATGACCTATCTCATTTATTTCAACTCAAAACTAAAAAATAATTGTATAGAAAGAACACATTCATTAAGATCTACACATTGGTATTTTTAAATGAATTGATATGAACTCATATGGACTTCATATGATATTGATATGAATTGATAAAATCTTGATATGAATGATATGGAACTAATACCATCTTGATATGAATGACATGAACTTTATATGAACTTATATGATATTGAAATGAGCTTATATGAACTCAAATGAATTTATATGAAATTAATATGAACTTATATGATCTTGATACGAATGATATGAATTGACATGATATTGATATGAACTGGTATGATCTTGATATGAATAATATAGAACTGATACGATCTTGATATGAATGACATGAACTTGATATGAACTGATATGATATGAAATGATATAATGACTGACTCAATCCAACTACCACAATAAAATCCTGACTAAAGTCCAAGTATAAACTCTAGTAGGGTGCAGTATAGGGCAAGCGTTTTAATTGTCAACCCAGGGTGGTCCATGTACCCCTACTTCAATCACTTAGGTTGTTATCTAGCAAACGATTTAGAGTTTAAAACTAAGAAAACTACAAACTAAACAAGCAAGCGAAGAAAATAAATTGTGGAGAATTCTATATGAGAGGACTTCACCCGGGTATTGCTCCCCCTAGTCTCGTATTAAGAAACAAAGAACGAAACTCTAGTGTGAAGGATGTGTTCATAAACCGTGAGGTGGGAGTAACTAGCTAGGAAACCCTAACTCTCTTAGTTGACCAATTAAGGATTGCAATTATAATCTAGGATTCTAGGTAACCTAGATCTCTTAACGATTAGGATAAGGATTGCAACTAAAAGTTTAGAAATCTAGCCCTCTTAACCGATCAACTAAGAAGTGCAAGAAATGATCTCTCGGAAGTTAATCCGGACGGCGAAAGGCGGCCAATCACGAGTGAATCATGACACTAATCCGATATTTGAGGTTTGACTTCATTTGCCTAGGTGGGTGACACAAGTTGGTCAAGAAATCCAGCTTCTCAAAGCCTCTAACTACAAGGGGATTCTCTCCACCTAGGCCAGAATGACCCAATAATGAGTTAAAGCTAGCAACACTCAATCATTCATGAGTAATACCTCAAATATTATATAAATCACACAATCAACACATAGAATCATGTTCTTACATCCTAACACACATCTAGACTAGGGTTCAGAACACACAAGTTAGAGGGAGCACTACTCCATAGCTTGGCAAGGGAATACAACAAAGATGAAAGAAAGAACCATGGTGTGGTGACTATCCTCCTTATTTGTTGCTTGAATCATCCTTGAGATAATAAAACCTTCAAGCCTTTAGCTTAGGGCAAGCCCAACTTTCTCTCTCTTAACAAGAAGAGGAGGATCTCTCTCTGTCACTAGAATTCTTCCTCCTTTAGGGTTTTCAGCTGGAAACCTAAAAGGGAACCCAAAAAATCTAAAACCCAACCAAGTTCCAGCTCACCTTTTTCTCTCACTGATGCCTTCTATTTATACAACCCGACAGTCACTATCACGGGCAGAAAGTCACGGTCATGACAATGGAGCTCCAACTGTGACATCGGACCAACATCCTGGCAATTGTCACGGTCTATTCAAGAGGGTTTGGTATGCTTTAATCAAGATTCCAAGCTAACTTCGAACTTTCCACAGTAAAAGTATCGAGTGAAATGAACTAGGGAGTAAACAACATAGGCCTAGCTAAGGACTAGGGAAGCATACCAATGTGATTTTCTCATATATGAACTCGGACCATTTTACCTGCTTTACTTCCTCAGTTCCAGTGATCAAAACTACAACTTGTTTGGTAGATAATAGGTAATTCGCTGAGTAATAATAGATTTAGCAACCTTAGGTTGACAATTAGAACTAAACTTCCGGTTTTTGGTTGCACTTGACCATTGATTGGAGTTGTAGTTTTAGCGAGTCAATTGTAGAGGTGGAAATTATCCAAATGTTGCATTTTGTAATCGATGAAAGCACAATAAAATCAGTGTTTGTGAAACCGTTCAGTACCACCTGTCAGACCGGGAAGTATGCGGGTTCTTAGGCTGAGTCCAATGGAGCCTGCATTTATGGGGTTGTCGCCATTAATGCCGATTTTGGAGTTCCAACGCAGAGAAATAAATGCCGAAAATCGGCAATTATGGAGGCGATCGGCAATTGGATCGCTATATATGGAGGAGGGTTTGCCGATTTCGGCATTTATGGAGGAGGAAAGTCTGCTGCGCGGCACAACCGCCGGGGCTGGGAGCTCTCTCCCTTGCGCGTGCGGCGCACCGCCCAGCCTCGGCGGCTGTGCCGCCAGTTCCTTTTTTTTTTTAATTGTTGTTTAGTTAATTAAGGTATTTAATTAAGGAATTTGATTAAGAAAATTGAATGTAATTAATTAGGGGAAGGGGAATTAAATTGAATTAATTAGGGAAAGGGTATTTAAAAATGATGACGAACTATACAAAAATTAACATGAACCAATTATGTTAAAGTTTCGATAAGTACATTTTTCAATAAATGGAAAAACTGGAAATATTAAGAACCCCAAATATGGAGTTTGTTGCATTAGAGCAAAAGAAGGGAAAATGGGGTTCAATCCCCAAATTTGAGGTTCAAGGCCCCTATATTTGGGGTTTTGCATTGGACTTGGCCTTAGCAATATGAAATGATACAATTTCAAAAAAACAAGTGATAATAGCATTTTGATCTTAAACTTGAAGGTTCCAAATTCAAATCTTTAAATAATAAGACTTAATTAAAAACCAAACCTATATGTCCTTACTCCTTGTAAAAAAAAAGCACTAAATTTAGCCCGACATTACTCGCAATTTGGGTGACGATTGACGAGTGACGACTCGAGCATTTCCCAAGGAGGAGAATGGGCCTAATCCAAAATCGCCCACCACATCGTCGATATCCTCTGTATCATTACGAAGGAGGACATGTAGCCTAGACTGTCAAACGGGACGATATCTCATTTCAAGGATTAAGGGGAGAAACTGCAGACCATCTCCGGAGAATATCAAAGGGACACAGGCAAATATCAGTGTGTGTGTGTGTTAGCAACGGATTGCAGTTCATAGCAAAAAATTCCCGAGAAGAAGAAGAACGCGAGATGTTGTTCCAGGTCGGAGGGCAAGGGGATCGACCCACCTTCTTCGAGATGGCTGCTGCCCAACAGCTTCCCGCCAGTCTCCGTGCTGCCCTCACCTATTCCATCGGCGTACGCCTCACTAACTCCCCTAACCCTAAATTCATCTTCTTTTCTTCTTCCGCTTCTCTATTGTCAGCTTCTCGTGATTCCTTCTCAACGTTTCTTTCTTCTCCAGTGCCTTTTTTGTGAATATGATAACGACCCATCGAGTCAATTGTGGCTGTCCATCTTAGGCTGACTCGAATTTCTTGTGCATCGGATTGAGTCTTTGGCAAAATCTTGCTGTTTGGTAACTGTGTAGACTTCTAGATGTGTGAAATGATAGAAATTGAAGAACTACAGCACTGTTCTGTTTTTGCCTTTTTGGTTGATTGCAGTTTCGAAATGTGAATTTAATGATGGCACACCACCATGTCGTTCCCATAATGGGTGATGTTTTTCCGATGAACCATTTGCTTCTATGTTGTCTGGTGCTAATACGATGTAAAAATGTTGCTACTTTGTTTGTTTTTCCCACCCAATCCAGGTGTTGGCTTTAAGGAGACCCTTCCTCCATAAGGTTTTGGACTATGAAGATGAGTTCTTTGCTATGCTTATGCTTGTTCTTGAGACTCATAGCTTACGAACAACAGGTTTACTTTCTTCCCTTTACCCTCTCTTTCATTGTCTCCCAAAGCCATTGAATGTTGTCTTGATGTTCCTTGTTCAACTGAGACTTATGCTGCCCATGGTTCAATGCTCTCTCTAGATGCTTCTTTTGCTGAGTCTCTATATGGGTTGCGGAGAAGATCAGTACAGTTGAAAATAAAGAATGACAATGTTAGATTGATAAAAGGAGAGAAATCTCAGCCCTCTGGCCTCGAAAAGCGTCAAAGAATTCTCTCGGTCGTATTTCTGGTATTGCCATCTGTGTCTCCTAATTACACTTAAGAACTTCCTAATTACATTTAAAGTGCTGAAACATTCTGCATTTAACCAGTTCGGGGGAAGAATATTTCTCTGATGTTGCTTGGGCATGGATCTTGTTTCAAACCTCTCTCATTCTAGAATTCCTGGTGCGCATGTTTATGGTTCTTTCCATGTCTGTGTTAGGTGGTCTTGCCTTATTTCAAGTCAAAGTTAAACTCTGTATACAACAGAGAAAGGGAAGCCAGACTTCAAGCAAGCTTGTGGGGAAATGATGATGAAACATTTGAAGGCACTTCCTATTTTGATGGAACAGAAGCTTCTCCTGTTCCCAGTAGGACTTCTGATACACAAGTGACAGTTAGAGCACGCCTGAGAAAGAAAGTTCAGAAACTTGTTTTTGCTTGCTATCCGTTTCTACATGCTGGCGTCGAGGGTAAATGCAACCTTAAGGCTCTGGTTGGGGCTTTCTATTGTGAAGTGCTTCTTATTTAGATAAAGCTTGTTGTCTTTTTGATCCAGTCACAAGCTGCTAAAATGAGGGTGATTTTCTTGCAAATAAATTTACACATTCGGTTTTGCTTTTGTTATTATAGTGGAACTGCAGCTGCGGATGATTGACTAGTTCATTGTCTACCTCCAATGTTGTTTTTGAATGATCTCCTGGGCACTGCTCTCCTTGGAAGGCTTATTTTGTGTTCCCCACTTTTTGCAGGGTTGTCATTCAGTTATCAGCTACTATATCTCCTTGATGCTACTGGCTTCTATTCCTTAGGGCTGCATGCTCTTGGGATTCATGTCTGTCGAGCTACTGGGCAAGAGCTGGTAATATAATTTGGGCAGAACTCTTCAGCATTTGTTATTAGTATTTTCTTTTTTTTTTTTTTGGGTAGAAAGTTGGACGATGTCGTCCTAATTCATATTAGAAATCGAACGGGGCATGGTAATCCCCAAAGAGTCATACAAAAGCCAATGAGTAAGAACTGGCTCGCATACACTGATATGATGTATGCCAAAATGAAGAGAATGTCCTCTAGAGGCTAAGAAGTCAGCAGCCTTGTTTTGCTCTCTAAAAACATGGCTAATCTTAACCTCCCACTCTCGACTAATCAGATTCCCAACCTTCGCGGCAAGGAGTCCATGACGATGGTTATCATCCTTCCAACTGTTCATGATGCTAATCGCCGTCATGGAATCCATATTAAGCTCAATCTTCCTGTATCCTTTTCTCCAGGCTCTCTCAAGTCCTTCCACTGCCCCCTTAAGCTCAGCGCTAGTTATGGAGGAGTCCCCAAGGTTGCAAGAAAAAGCATCCAAACATCTCCCAAGTCTGTCTCTTAATAAACCTCCTGCAGCAGCAGAATTCAAGCTGGTGATGACTGACCCATCAGTCTGTAATTGTATCCATCCTTCCTCTGGAGGCTTCCACCCAATATCTTCAATTGTTCTTTGGCTGGTTACAGGTCCGAAGCAAGTCTTGTTCGTTCTGAGTGCTTGCTGATGAATGCTGAACCATGCTTGAATCCTGCAGATCATTCCTTCCTCAGAGAATTTCTTCCCTTCCATAACTTCATCATTCCTCTGCTTCCAGAGAAGCCAACAGACAATGCCAAAGTCAACTCCGACTTCATCCGCTTTGAGGTTTCGATTAAGCCAAGTCTGGAAATCGATGTTGGTGTTCTTCTCTGTAACTTTGGAACTGAAGTGGTTCCAGATTCCTCCCGCCTTTTTGCATCTACGAATGATGTGTTCAGTTGTTTCCACTTCATCTTTGCAGAAGTTGCATTCATCATTTGAAGTAAGTTGTCTTTTCTTTCTCTCCGCGTTGGTGAGGAGGCGGTCGTGCGTCACCAACCAGAGGAAGAGTTTGACCCTGTTGGGGCCATTCCATCTCCAAAGCTGCTTCCACACGTCCATTGGTTCCTCTTCCTTCTCGTCCACCACAAGGTTGTAGGCTGAGCGAAGTCTGAACCTCCCGTCCTTCTCAGCTCCCCAAATCGTTCTGTCCTCCCCCAGTCCTGCTTTAGGAGCTTCCATTCCTGCAATGCGGACAAGAATTTCATTAGGAAGAAGGACTTTGAGTCGTCCCAATCCCACTCACCATTCCCATCCAGCCAGTCTGCCACACTCGTCGTTCTTTCCTCATCTGACAGATCGCACAAGGCGAGCTCTTCCAAAGTCGTTTCATTGTCCAGCCAGGGATGCGACCAAAACCCAGTATCAGTCCCATCTCTCAGGCTCCAGAAAAGTCCTTTTCGCATGAAAGGCATCGCTTTTAAGATTCCTTTCCAAAGACTCGAATGATTGCTAGTTTTCATCCTAGTGATAGTGTCATTCCTGTGATGAAAGTATTTTCCTTGTAGCACCTGTACCCACAAATCATCCTCATTATTAAGAATATGCCAAGCAAGTTTCACCATATACGCCATGTTAAGACAACGAGCCGATCTGAGACCTAGTCCCCCCTGGTTCTTAGGCTTGCAAATAGTTTCCCAACTCACTAAGTGGACTTTCCTTTTCCCCTCTTGAGAACCCCAGACAAACCACCTAATTTTCCTATCAATTGTTTCACAGATTGAAATAGGAAGCATAGTTGTTTGCATAGCGTAAGAAGGAATGGACTCAAGGACTGCCTTTGCTAGAGTCACTCGACCCGCAAGGGACAGAGTTTTAGCCTTCCAAGCAGTCAACTTTTGATCAATTCTATCAATGATATATCTATATGTTGACTTAGTCAATCTTCCGTGAATGACAGGGACACCTAGATACCTTCCTAAGTCATCAGTTTGTTGAATTCCTAGACAGGCACAAACATTCTTCCTAACTGGCAGCTTAGTGTTCTTGGAAAAGTACACCCTAGATTTTTCTTTACTAATGAGCTCACCAGAAGCTTCACAAAACTCATTCAAACATTCAAGGATAACCTCCGCCTGCTCAACCTTTGCCTCGGCAAACAACACAAGGTCGTCGGCAAAGAAGAGGTGAGACAGGGGAGGCCCTCCCACAGAAAGGGACACAGGCTTCCAACTCTTGTTCCTAACTCTCCTACTGATCGAATGACTAAGGCGTTCAACACAGAGAGTAAACAAGTAAGGGGATAAGGGACATCCTTGCCGTAATCCTCTAGTCGGGGTGAATGCCTCTGTCTCTCCGCCGTTCCAAAGGATTTGCATCTCGACAGAAGTCACGCATTGCATGATTGTAAAGACGCTGTTATCAGGGATCCCGGCTTGCTGAAGTGTCTCTTGCAGGAAAGTCCAATCGATTCTGTCGTAGGCTTTAGCAAGGTCCACCTTCAAGAGCATGGTTCCTTTCTTTCCACCTTTCTTTGACATCGTGTGAACGGTTTCCTGCAAGATGAGAATGTTGTCAGTGATGTGTCTATTGGGGATAAAACTTGTCTGATTTTTATGAACCAGATGAGGCATAAGCAATTTTAGATTGTTAGCGATTGCTTTGGCAATCACTTTGTAACCAACGTTACACAAAGCAATCGGTCTGAACTGGCTCATTGAGGCAGGGGCATCAACTTTGGGGATGAGAGCAAGGAGGGTTTGATTCACAGTTCTGATTCTGCTGGGATTACTGAAACACGACTCCACAAACAGTGAAAAGTCAGCTCCAATGATGTCCCAGCATCTCTGAAAGAAGACAGCTTGGTAGCCGTCTTTCCCTGGAGCTTTAAGCCCATTCATTCCCATTATAATACTTCTTATTTCCTCTCTAGTGGGACACATTCCCACTCTACTGGTGCGAGATGGATCAATCTTTGGGAAATCAGCAGCAATCTTTGGCCAACACTCTTTGTCGTCCTTCGTGAACAGCTTGACATAGAAGTTCTTTGCCATGGACATAAGCTGGTCCGGGTTAGTGATCCATTCTCCTAAGTCATTCATAAGCCCAGTGATCAAGTTTCTCTTCCTTCTGCTAAGTGTGCTGAGGTGGAAAAAACGTGTGTTCTTATCACCAAAGAGAAACCAGTTAGATCTCGACTTCTGCATCCACAACACTTCCTCTTGCCACAGGGTCTCCTCCAGCTCCCCTCGAATCTGCTTCTCCTGGTCAAGAGAATGGCTGCTCGGGGAGCGTTCATTAAATAACTCAATGGACTGGAGTTTATTGATGAGATGCTTTTTCCTCCTGAAAATGTTTCCAAAGACGTTTTTATTCCAGGCCTTCAGATTGTCCGTGAACTCCTGCAAAGAAAGGGGGAAGTTACTACCATTCTGCCAATAGGAAGACATAAAATCAGGAAAATCTCTATGAGCAAGCCAAGGAGCGAGAAACTGGAAACGCCTCACCGGTTTGTTTGTCGTTGGTTGACTTGTGGAACAAGTCAATATGGGTCTATGATCAGACTTCAGCTTCGCCAGGTGGAACACCGTTGATTGTGGGAACTTCACTCGCCATTCCATGTTGCAAAGGCTGCGATCCAGTCTTTCTTTTATTCTGGATGAGCTTGTGAACCAAGTAAATTTTGGACCAGTGAAACCAAGGTCAATCAGCTTACAGTCGTCAATGCATTCATTGAATGCTCGAGTCTTTGCAGCGCTGAACAGAGCTCCTCCAAGTTTCTCGGACGGCCTAGTAATGGAATTAAAGTCACCAGTTAGAAGCCAAGGAAGCTTGTTATTTCTTCCCATCCTTCTCAAACTATCCCATAATTCTGTCCTACCAAACTCATTCGGGCAGGCGTACACTGCTGTAATCAGACCAATCTTCTTCCCTTCAACAAAGCAACACATATGAATAAATTGCTTATGCATGTCAAGAACTTCCAGGTGGATCTGTTTCCTATCCCACAGAACCCAGATTCCACCGCTGAACCCCACAGCATCCGACACTTCCCAGCCATCAAAGCCAAGTGTTTTGATGACATCGATAGCATCTTTCCCACTGATTCTGGGCTCCAAAATGCACACGATATTAGGACAATGTAAGCTTCTATACAGCTCAAAAGTAGATCGAAAATTGGGATGTTTTGCACCCCTGCAGTTCCAGGCGAGAATCTTAATCATTGGCATGAAAAGAAGGTCCCTCCTATGAAAATCTCTGAGGATCACTTATTATCAACAGCCATGGCTGTTCCCAGCATCTCCGGGTCTCCATTTAGCACGGTTTCCCTCATATGCTTTGCATTATCTGGCAGTAGCTCGGACTCCTCCTTGACAGAAGCGAAATTAATCTTCCTGGGGTGTCCTTTCCCATTCTCAGGGGATAGTAAGATATCTTTCCCATGCTCCTTGCCAGCATTCAGTTTACTGGCAGGTTTCATCTTTGGTTGATGACCCGTCTTAGCATTGGAGGAATCATCATTATCCCGGGACTTATAATTTTTCCCGCTGCTTGGGGGAGTAGAGGAACTGGATCCTTCCCTTGGCTTTCCTTGCACGTCAGAGCTGGTCTGCTGTGGTCTAGCCTTGACTTGATCTTTGCTTGCATTCCCCTTCTCATTCATTCCTTTCTACTCTTTGTTGGTTGCTTGCATTCTCCTGTTTGTTATTAGTATTTTCTAGCCAAAGAATAGTTAACCAAATGTTAGTCATTGAGCATCTGATATAGTGAGAAATGTTACTTGATTTTCACTGCAATATGTGTCTCATTTACTGGATTGCTGCTTTTGTCTTTCTATTCTGACAATCATATCGATATAGGAGCAATAATTTTTTCTCTTATTGTCAACGTAGATGGATACATCTTCTAGAATATCTAAGATACGAAGTCGTGAGCGTGAGAGACTCCGGGGCCCTCCATGGTTAAAGGTACGATGATTGGATTTCTTCTTGATGTTTTCTATGAACAGTTTTCTGCAGGTGACATTTTGTTTAATTCAGTAAGTGGATAACATTTACAGGCAGTACAAGGAGCACTATTAAGATGTTCGTATACCATGCTTGATTATGCACAAACTGGACTAATTGCGGCAGTATTCTTCTTCAAAGTGAGTTTTCTGCTTTCATCAAGGCTTTTCTGGGAGAGTCAAGGAAGTCAAACTTGGATTCTCTTTATCTTTTCATGTTTTAGCCTCCTAGATTTCAGTTTTCCACTTAAAATGTAGTTTTCCTCAACCGATTGCAATTCTGAATGATATCAATGCACCAGATATTATCTGTCACTTTACTTGTGCTTCGTTATATGTGTTTCTTCTACTCAAATGAGATTTTGGCGAGCATTGAATCTGGTTCTATTGCTCCATAGATGATGGAATGGTGGTACCAATCTGCTGAAGAGAGAATGTCAGCTCCAACTGTGTACCCACCGCCTCCTCCACCACCACCTCCAAAGGTGAGAATATTAGAACCAATAAGTCTTGCTGTGCCCCTATTATCTTGCAACACGCGGTCTCAGTCATAGGTTCATTACACATTCAAGTAGTGAATTACTACACTTGGTTTAGAATTATCAAACTTGGCACTTGTTTCAAACAAAAGGGAGAATAAGGAGAAAGAAACAATAGCCAGTATGGGTCATTGCTGCTTAAGATGTTAACTATCATGACAGGTAGCAAAAGAAGGGATTTCACTGCCAAATGATAGAACGATGTGCCCATTGTGCTCACAGAAGCGAGCGAATCCATCTGTGGTAACAGTCTCGGGCTTCGTCTTCTGTTATGCTTGCATCTTCAAATACATATCACAGGTGATTCCTCCATTTTCTAATCGTAATCAATGCATGGAAAGTTAATGTTACCAGCATCATCTAACATTACAATCTTTTTGTTCTCCTGTTTGGAACTTTTCTTTTTCTGTTTCTACAGTACAACCGTTGCCCCATCACGTTGATGCCGTCAAACGTCGACCAGATAAGAAGGCTCTTCCACGATATGTAGGTTAAAGTTTTGGTTTCTGGAAGTTCTGGAGAACCCCATAACACATGTAGCCGCATTCGAAAATCGAAATAATGTTGTCAAGAAGCTGGTTGTAGGTAGATCGACATAGTACAGAGGAATCAGTGTGCTGCAAAAGTTCGTATAGTACATTTACAAACATTCTGATGGTCATTGGCAATTCAGGGTTGATGGGTTTGCTCGTTCTCTCTTCCCTGTAGTTAGTCTGTATATTATTTATCAACTATCCGGTTGATTTGAGAGTTCCAGAAAACAGAAGAGCAAGTTCTATTCAAGTTTCAGAACTGCGGTTCAGCAGCATTAGCAGCCACATCTGATAAAGTGAACTAGATCTACTCTTCTCAACCCACTGAACTTACGAAATTGAACTTGAATAAGAAACTTCAAATGCTATAGTTAGTCTGTATATTATTTATCAACTATCCGGTCGATTTGAGAGTTCCAGAAAACAGAAGAGCAAGTTCTATTCAAGTTTCAGAACTGCGGTTCAGCAGCATTAGCAGCCACATCTGATAAAGTGAACTGGATAGACTCTTCTCAACCCACTGAACTTAAGAAATTGAACGAGAATAAGAAACTTCAAATGCTATAGCAGTGGGCATGATCCCAGGCTCGATCCAGTTGATCCAATCAATTGTAGTTCCAGACTGAATCAGCACAGTTCTGGGTGTTAAAAATTATTCCAATTAATCATTATAAAGAAAAAACGACAGGAATTCAACATTTTATTCCAGCGATTTCAACAAACATTGAAAGCAGAAAACTCGATCAAGAACAATGTGAAACTGAAGCAATGTCTGAGCTGGAAATTTCGGGGGTCAGAGTTCTACCTCTCCGCCAGAATGCTTCCAATAGCTCCCAACAGTCCCTATAGCCGGCGTTCCACCAAATCGCCGGCTCCTCGACTTTGCAGGCGAAGTAGCAGCATCAACTTGCTTAAGCACGCCAATCGTCAGTGCACCTAAAACTACCTTCTTATCTTCCTTACTCTTAATAGGCAGATACCCAGCTGAAGAATGATCGCCTCTGTCCTTAGGCTGTCCATCAACTACCAGCCAATTGGAGAGGCTAGCATCAACGGCAACATCAATCTTGTCCTTGTTTATCATACTTCCCTCTGGAGGTTTCTCGATCGAAGGGCTGAAGCTAAACTCGGAACTCGGGCAGCTTTGGATGTTAATGTCGATGTTGACATTTTCCTTGTCCTCCTGACAATGCTGCTGCTGCTTCTGCCTTCTTGCATTGCCTCCTCCTCCTCCTGCTGCTGCTGGTTTCAATTGGGTTGTGGTATCTTCCACTGGTTTGTGAGATGGATTGGATTTCGGGGTTGAGCTTGTGATCTCCTCTCCCTTTTCACCCAAATCAGCGGCTTGATTTTTCCCGATTGAGATGGAAAACAACGACTCCGACGACTCTTCCATCACTCTTTCTTCATCACCATCTTCAACCTGCTCATGACTCGAAGAACGCGGCGCCACATTTGCTTTCGATTCGCCGTCTCCATTTGGGTGCTCTTCCATTTCCCCATCAAGCTTCTGCACATTGCCAACTTCCTCTGCGGGCAACGACAGGGTTTCTTCTTCAACCTTGGTTTCGAAAGTGGCCCACTTTATGGCATCGCAACTTTCTTCAGCGTTCTTCACAACCTTCTCTCTAAGAAGAGCATTGCCAGAACAGATTAATCAAAATAAGCATTAAAAAAAAGGAGATAACTTTGAATCTCAAAACTGCAGAGAAACGAGAGCTTACTTGGATTCAGGGGAGACATGGTGATTGATGGGTTCCTTGGTGGGAATCTCAATCTCCAGTAGCTGGGTTCCTCCATGGCCGGGTTTGTCTCTCTGGAGGGAGCGAACGCAGGAGTCAAAAGTTTAGCCGAAAGGTGAAGATGATGGGAAGGAAGCCATTATATGGAAGCAGAGAGGGGGAGACTTACAGGTTGGTTAGAGGGAGAAGAAACATCGGGCACCAGACGATATTGATTGCGCTTTCGCTGCTTAAAAGCAGTAAAACAGGACTTAAACTTAAAGCACACCATTGTGAATAATGAACACGAAGAAACAAGTCTTTTTGACTTTGGAAAATTTTGGCAATCCCAAAAGTGTCGACTTTGAGAGAAGGGTAGTAGCGGCTGGTGGTGGAGAAGGTCGGAAAAAATTCGACCGTTGGGGGGAGAGGGAGAAGGGTTTCTGCTGGGAGTTTTTTGTATTGTACTGTATCTTCTTTTTTCTGTTAGATATGTTTTTGTTTCAGCGGAGAAAGAGGAAACACATGGGCTCTGTGCAACAGTCAGTAGCAAGCAAGCTCCATGGCTTAGGATAGGGTGAGTAACCACTTTAGGACCGTAGATCTGGACTGGACTGATCGTATGGCTGTAGTTGATGCGGTGATGGTCAGGGGCATTTTTGTCCGGTTTTTGAATTTTATTTTTTGTCTTTTTCTACTTTTCTAGCATTTATATTATTACTTTTACGGAGGAAAGAGAAACCAGACTTTTCTTTTCCTCCCTCTTTTCTCTTTCCCTTCCTCTCTTCCTTCTCTCTTCCAAACTCCTTTTCCCAGATCTAGATATGTTTTTTTCTTTTGTTCTTTATTTTTTCTTCAACAATTGACAAAGAAAAATTGCAGCATCATGCCTCAAAATCTGGTGACGCTCCAAATCCTTCTTTGCAGCTGCTTCTTCCTTATGTTCTTTCTTTTCTCGGCCTCAAAATAGATGACGTTCCATATTGACCAAGAGGGGACGGATCTATGTGAGTTAAGTTTGCATGTTTTATATTTTAGTATTTGTTTGTGAATTTTCAATTCCGATCTTCCTCCTCTTTTTTTGTTGCATTTGGTGTTCTTGATTGCGGAGGAGAAATGAGAGGAAACAGAAGACGAGTTTTTTTGACTCTCCCTCCTTCTGTTTTTCTTCCTTTTAGGTAATATATATTGATATTACCACACTATTTCATATGGTAATGTGCGATAACTAAATGTATCTTTATGGTCACGAGTTTTATCATGGTGGTAGTGGGTGGTAATCGACTCTAGTTCTGAGAAAAAAGAGTTAGAAGACAATGAAGTTGGAGAAGAAAGTGAAGAGAGTCGTAATTGTATATATATACCGAGATTACCACACTATACCATATGGTAATGTGTATATACCATATGGTAATGTGTCTATACCATATGGTAATGTGTATATACCATATGGTAATGTGTATATACCATATGGTAAAGTGTATATACTATATGGTAATGTGTCTATACCATATGGTAAAGTGTCTATACCATATGGTAAAGTGTGGTAACGAAATGTATTTTTATGGATATCGTGTTTTACTATGGTCGTAAAGGGTTGTAATTAGATTTATATTATTTTTGTATGGTTTTACCTTCTCATACCATGTGGTATTGTATGGTAATTAAAATTAATTTGTGTTCATTCGATTAACCATGTTCTACTATGGTGGTATTGTATGGTAGTTAGATTTACCATATATTGATATTACCACACTATACCATATGGTATTGGGTGGTAACGAAATATATATTGATATTACCACACTATACCATATGGTATTGGGTGGTAACGAAATATATATTGATATTACCACACTATACCATATGGTATTGGGTGATAACGTAATATATATTGATGTGACAAATTTTTTCATACCATATGGTATGGTCAATACCAGTCATTACCATATGGTATAGACTGGTAATAACTGACAAAATTTTTTATGTCTGAAAAATATCAAAGTGGATATCATTTTGAAGAGCACAATTAATCTGATCTAACTATGCAAAAAAAATTAAATTCCGACTTAAAACGAGTGAGAAATCGTCCGTTAAAGATTAAGAGAAGGAAAATTAAAGGTTGTTTGAGGAGAGAGAAGGCGATGATGTGATCTGGTCCGCGTCAGCGCGTCAGAGACATCATTAAATAGGGGGTGCAATTTTACCTTAGTGCTCCTCCGTATTTTTTTTAAATAAAAAGAAAAAGTTGACACGTGGGGGCCAGGGGAAGGGGTTACTGATGGTTACTGATGGAATGGTTACTGAGGTGATCCGGACCCAAGCTCCATTGATTAGTGAGTTTACTTGAATGAGTGGAAGATTCCAAAGTAGTTGCGGTAGGAGGGTGTATTTATGAGATTTTTTTTTTTCAAATACCTTCGGGCTCAACTCGATTTGAATTTACTTTTGACGTATAACGTTTATGCAAATGGTTATGAATTAAAAAAAAAAAGTCCCAATCTTGATAACTTTACTCTTTGATTGTGTAGGGTGGTTCATCGAATCATGATATTGAATAAGTTTGAGTTAGTCAGAAGAGTGGTTTGGGTCTTGTGTGAGAACTGTGTCGTTCCCTAATTAATTAGGCAGTTACATTAATTAGTGAAGAACATATGATTCAATATGAACGGCTGAAAGGAGCGGAGAACGTGGGTTTTTTTTTTTGACAAAGAAGGTGCTTATATTTCACTCCAACAGAAACTCGGTTACAATGAAAGGGATACACCCTGAAGATCAACAACAAGAAAGAGATCCAACAATACAAAGAAAATGGAAAGAAAAGGCCCAGAAGCAAACAGAAGGGCGACCCAACAACAACATGAACAGAAAGACAGGGGAACCCTTTACATGAGCAGAAAACAGAGGATCCAGCAACCATTGTAATCGCATCAAACAGAGTGAGACACAGCAGAAGATCAGCTCGCCCAAACCCAGCCTTGACCATGGAAATTGAGCAAAGCAACACCATATGCCGCCTTCTGGGGGTAGTTCAAAGACACCCATCACAGTGAATCGCCGACGAGGGATTGCGCGGCGGTGGACAGGATTGAGATCGGGTTGCTCAGAGCTGAAAAATGGCAACCGGGACTGGAACGGAGGGAACCATGAAACAGCAGTGAAGAGATGCATCTAAGGGTTGAACCGACCTGAAGAAAAGAGCCACAAGCAAAGGAAAGGAGAAAAGAGCAGAACCAACCAGAGGAAACGATCTGAAGAGACATACACCAGCAGAGAAAACCCAAACAAAACAAAAACCCAAAACCCAAAGCAGCAGACCCAACACCAACCCCAACACCCAAACAGATCAACCCAAGCTGAATCTCAGCACTACGACAACAATGGTGCAACCGCCTCAGCAACAAGAGGAGACTCCTCTTCCACAACAGCCAATCGACGCACCGAGGAACGACGACGGGAGGGGAATCGGTGAATGCAATCATCCTATACAATGACCGCACCAAACTTGGGTAGAAACCCAGTTTGCATCCTCCGAACCCAAAACAGAGCAGAGCCAAACCAGATCTTGAAGATCTGGAGCAGAATCCGGACAAAACCTCCTCAATTAAGAGGGATGTGGACAAACCCACTTAGGGGAAGGGAAAACGCCATTACGGCTGGAAAAAGCCAAGGAAGGCCAGGAAAAACAGCTGAAAACGAAAAAGGAGGCAGAGGAAGAGCAGGACAGCAGCAGGAAAGAAAAGAAAATTTGGGCTACCGCCGGTCACCCAGACGTGCCGGCGGCAGCCCTAACGGGAGGAAGGTGAAGAAGTAGAGAGAGGGCAGAGAGAATTTGAAAAGTTGAAACAAGAGAGAGAAAGAAGTTTTAGAGAGTTGGCGAGAACGTGGGTTCATTAAAGGCAATTTTAGGCCCTACGATGATCAACTGATCAAGTAATATGTGAGTATCGATGAGCTAAAGGGGAGAAACTATAGAGTTAACCATCATTCTCTTGTGGATATAAAACAGTACATGGTCACTGTTGTTGTCAAGCTAGTGAACCTTATTATGAACTAGCTTCTAACCCGGCCCGTTGGCCGGTGAGATTTATTTTATAATTTATATGTTTAAATCATTTTGGATCTTCTAAATATTTTATAATAGAATTTGTAGTATGTCTATATTGAAATTTCCAATATTTAGCACACTCACTTGTGATGCTTCGGTTTTCGAATCATAAATTATGCCGCTGTCACGTTCCATTTAGAACTTATGTCAAAATTTGTCAACCAAAACACTAATATTTAGCGTACGCCAACCTGAACCACACACACACATATAGTTCAAGCTAGCGTGCGCCAGGTGTACGCTATACTATTGCGTTCATACTACCATACGACCATTGAGTTTTACTATTTAGACCCGAATTAACCAGAGTTTTTTGGGGCATGATATTATACCCTAACCTCTAATAGGTGAACTCTAGTCCCTAATTCTGTAACCTCTAATTTATGCACATACTTCGTAATACATATCTTCTATTGTATCTTGAGTTAAATAAAAACTATAGTTTACCTTGATATTACATATACATGTATATATGTGTGTGTATATGTATATTAAACTCAAAATTATCTAGAGATCTCGCTTTTACCCCCATAACGCCAGACAACCATTGGGGTTGTTTATCGTTCGATATGTAATATATAAAGAGGCAAATACTAAGATCCTACTATTTATTTCTTATCCTCTCCCGCCGTCCCCTTTATGGAGAATAAAAAGGTAGGGATGAAAGGATCATAGCTCGATATGGTTTTATTATGTTCATCGTATCGGAGGTTATGTTCTTTTTTGCGTTTTTGGCTTCTTTTTCATTCTACTTTAGCACCTATGGTTGTTATCAGAGGTATTTGGCCCTCGAAAGGGATTGGGATTTTAGGTCTTTTGGAAATCCAATACACGTTCAACTGCCCATCCTACCTCCTCTACGTTCTTGATCCTCGAGTTTCGACGAACTCTCGACCTATGTTGTAAAAATTACGACTTTTTAGTGAGAAATTCTTAGTAAAGATATTTCATTATTGGATTTATTCATCCATATTGAAACTTGACACACACCGTAGCCCTCATGATGACTAAGCTCTCTAATATCGACTCATTTCCATTTTTGAAGTTTATTATACAATATGTATCAATTGTTAATTCTTGAAGTTTATACTAAACCTCAACTGGTGGTCATTGTTTATATGTTGGCTTAGAATCCCAATCTAAGGCACTCGCACACACTATCGAGGATTTTGGTCTTAACATGGTCGTTGAATGTGTAATTTTTAATGATTTTATCACTTATATATTAATAATTGATAAAGAGTGTCTCCAATATACATATTTTAAGTGCATTTAAAATGTCTTATCATTTGAACAATATCAGTGTATTTCATTTGATTATTTGCATTAACTTATTATCTTATACAACATATATTAATTCGTGTTTCTCGAGTCTAGACGAACTGCCAACCAATTTTGAGAGTTGAGATTATTGGATAAAGATACTTGATTGCTGGATAAATATGTTTATCGCAATTGACGATCTTACTAAAAATTGTCAACCTTTATTTGGTAAATGCCTAGGTTAGTAGTTGATGAAACGTGATGTTTATCGTAGATTCTGAACAAAGATTTTTCTAACCTTCACATCTATTATTTTTCAAGGAATCTTATGTCTCATCCTAGGCTATGAAGTCAAAATTCGTCAACAATCATACTTAAGTCATTTTGAAAATTTTGATTTATAATCGTCGAAGATAACTCCAAGTATGAAAAAAAAATTCTTAGCATACGACTTAGAACCTCAATAGAGCTTGCTCAATCAATATGATATAGAGCAAATATTATGAATGTGAACTTAGGTCACATTATCAAATTATTGCATATGCGATCCTCTTCATTTGAGGAATTTAAGGTAGAACATGTTCTGAATGAATAAGAATTTTTTTAAAATAAATACTGTAACTACTCGATCAAGATTATACTTTGACATTTTGCTAAATAATACTGTTTTATTTTATAGATATATATTGTACAAATAAGAGAGTGTTTCATTGCAACAAAATATAAAGTAATATAGTTTAATTTCAAAGGTAATCGAATGTCAAATGTATATTTTCTCTCTTTTCATATATATTTTGGTTTAATCGATTAAAACATAATTGTTTATGTGTATGTTTTTTTATTTATTCATCAAAATGTAACTTATCATTGAATTTTAGTAAAAATGAGTAAAAAATTTATTCCATAAGGTTTAATCAGGTATTTTTTTATTTAAATAAATGTGATATATGTCACTCTATGTTTTCTTATTTGTATTTTATTTATTTAACAAATAATTATTATATATGTGTGCTTGGTTAAGTTTATCAACATGTAACTTATTATTAAAGACAAAAAAGAAAAAATGGATAAAGAAAAAAGAATAATTGGATAAAAGAAATGGAAATATTAAAGAAGAGAGATGTAGCACCATAAATACATTAATAACTAATTTTTTGTTTGTAAAAAAGTTGTCCAACTTGGCAAATTATGGATCCTCCAAGTGCTTACGTGGCAAGAATTTTTTTTTGAATTGCCATAATATATAATATAGATAGATAGATAGATAGATATAGATATAGATAGATAGATATAGATAGATAGATAGATAGAAGTGATTTTCAAGTGATTTTTACTGTGTAGCCTTTTCTAAGGGATATTACCTCCTACATATCTTAGCACCCCAAACATATAGTGTGAGTTGGATTGTTGTCTCATAGTGCTCTGACTTGACCACTAGAAAAATCTGTCATGACTCATGAGACCTAGAATGTTAACTCATTAGCATTAAGCTACCGTATTTAATTGAAAAATGACGTGGTAATAAAAATGCAATTAAAATTTAAATTATATTAATCGAAGTCAAATTGAAATAATACAAGCTACCATATTTTACAATTCCACATAAGCATCATAGATTATTTTTATTTTTTATTTATAGATAAAACAGTAAACATATAAAACTTTTATTTTATTAAAAAATAAGTTGCACCTACATATGCAATTGTAAGTTGTTGGGGTATTACCCAACAATTAGGAGTTTGGGCCCCCAGACAAGGGACTTGGGGGGCAAGACCCAAAAGAGGGTCCTGGAAAATACCTCAAGGCCCAAATAAGAGGAAGGGCGCATGAAGACAAAACACTAAAGGCCAAAGGAGTCCAGGCTGTCAGGTGGTCCATCACCTGGGGGCGCCTGTCACGTGTCAGAAGCCTGACAGGGTGGTTGGGGTGCCTGACAAAGAGAGTACAGAGCATTAATTGGGCACAATGACGTGGAGGAGATCAACCTCGAGTTCGGTGAGTATAAATAGGGGCAGTTGGTAGCATTTACACAGGTTGGACTCTCTCTCACTAAAATACCACTTGAGAACTTTACTCTCTCTAACAGACTAACTTGGGCGTCGGAGGACTCACGGGCCAGGCGCCCTCCTCTGTGTGTGTGTGTAGGTCGACTTCAGGTGAGGGGAGACGTCCGGACAGTGAAGTGGGGATCGAGGCTCAAACAATTGGCGCGCCAGGTAGGGGAATATAACCTGAAATCATGAGTGAGGAAATGGAGGTGAGCGATGGAAGGGAAAGGGAGGAGGTCACGGAGGACCAGTCGGAACGATTGAGAGGGCTGGCGCCTGAGATGGAGGAGAGGGAGGAAAGTGATGACGTGTTTCGAGGGTCGGAAGACGCCTCAATAACAAGGAGAGAGCTGTTCAAAATCATTGAGGACCAAGATGGAGCGATAGAGGCGCTCCGAAGGGAGATTGACGCCCTGAAGAGAGGAGGAGAGGTGACCCCTAGTCCGACGAAGAAAAGAGAAAGGGTTGCGGAGACGGAGAGTGAATCGAGATATCAGAGGCGCCCCAGTTTGTGGCGCCCACGAGAGTACGAGGGGCTAGAGACGGGAGGATGGAATGGGGGAGTTTTGGGGCGCCTGTCCCGTCACGGACCTGTAAGACAGCCGTTGGCGCGTAACATTCTAGCGGAGCCTACAGGGACCAACATCCCCCCGCTCCCCGCCTATGATGGGGTCACTGACCCGGAGGACCACCTCAACGGTTATTTTACCAAGATGCAACTTTACAACAGCACAGACGCCACCCTGTGCAAAGTGTTTCCGTCGACTTTCTCGGGCGTGGTGCTCGATTGGTACTATCAAATCGGAGAAGGGCGCATTGAGTGCTTTGAGCAATTCGCGGAGATGTTTCTGGCAAAGTTTGCCAGCAGGAAACGGCGCACCTTAACTATAGGCGCCCTGTTCAAGATCAAGCAGAGAGAGGGAGAGGCGCTGAGGGAGTTTTATGAGAGGTGGTTATCTGTGGCTCTGGCAGTGAAGGACGTGCAGCCATCAGTGTTAGGGGTGTGCCTGAACGAGTGCACCACCAGCGAGGAATTGTGCAGAGCACTCGCAAAGAGGGATGTGGTGTG